ACCAAGAGGTCACTGGTTCGATTCCCGGTCAGGGCACATGCCCAGTTTGTGGGGCCGATTCCCAGTGGGGGGCGTGCAGGAGGAGGCCCAGCGATGTTCTCTCTCATCGATGTTTCTATCTCTCTCCCTCTCCCTCCTCTCTCTCTAAAATAAAAATTTTAAAAATTCAAGAAAGAATATAATTTAAAATAAATAAATAAGTAAATAAAAATAAATAAAAATGGCCAGCAGATGGTGCACTAGAACTAAAATAAAAGTAAAAGTAAAAATGGTGGTATTTTTCTTTCTTAACACATTCTCAGCAATGATTGATTTGGATGTAAAGATTCTGTAAGGAAGACTTGTTAAGCATGAAAAAACACAAGAATAAAGACAACACCCAGGGCTTAGCAGGAGTCCATGTAGCTAGAAATTCAGCAACATTCACCTCTAACCCTCAGCTGTGCTGTGTGCACATTGGCCGGTGCACTGAGGAACGTCAGTGTTTCCTGGTTGAGACCCCAGGAGCACAGTGAGCCACGGTCTGCATTTCTTTAGGTTTGTTTTCTGTGCGACCATAACTCAGGGCTTCCACGTGTCCAGGAAGAACATCTGGATGTGCGCACAGGTGGTAAATGCCAATTTCCCTTTCTAACGCTGCAGCCGAGCTAGTGGGGCAGGGCCTCAGGACTCCATGAACTCCCTGTGCAGGAGCGGGGCCGTCCGGGAAACGGCAGCATTGCTCCAAATGGGTGGATATGCCGTGGAGAAGGTCCCATCACAAGGGTTTGAATATCTGAAAGTCATCCTCCTGCCAGCCGTCACCCTTGTACCGGCAGGAGTGTGTGGCGATGGAATTCTCAGGGGCACCTGACACGTGTCCCGGAGCCCAGAGGCCTGCTCACAAACACAAACACTGATGCCAACCTGTTGCCTGAAGACTGCTGAGGGCAGGGCTGTGGACCCACCTGTGCCAGAGGCCCTGAGGGACAGTGGGTATGTGCCAGGGGAAAGATGTGCCATTCACTTCTTCCAGCCACACAGAGTGCAGAAGAGACCCTGCCCAGCTGAACACACCAGAGATTTCCAACCAGGAGTTTTGGGAGTGTGTGTGACTGGCCAGGCCAAAGAGAGCCTGGGCTGCACCTCCAGGGGACCCCTGCAGGCCAGGGCCAGCACTGTGCATGAGCCTGCCTGCTGCCAGGCTTGAGCATCACTGGAGCCAGTAGGAAGGGGATGGGGGAGGGGCGCCTGCAGGCTGCCAGCAGGTGAAGGGTCATGGGAAACAGTGCCTCCTGTTTCCAGGTCCTGCCTAGCACCCACCTGGAGGAGCCAGAGCCACAGGGGGACGGGAAGTGCAGCTGACCTGATAGTAAATCAGGACCCTCGCCCCTGAGACGGTACCGCGTCTACACGGAAGGAGGGGAGGTGGAAGATGTGGAACAGGAGAGGAGGGTGCTGTTGTGCCTCAGAAACAAACAGGAATGAATCTTAAATCCTACAATAAGACAGCTCCAAGGCTCCAAAATGATAGGAAACTGGTAGAACTCCAGACAGTAATGATGGAGCCCTGGGCGGGTAGTTTCGGTGGTCAGAGCATCATCCTGATACACCAAGGTTGTGGGCTGGATCCCCAGTGGGGGGCATGTAGGAGGCGGCCAGTTGATGTTCTCTCTCATCGATGTTTCTGTCTCTCCTTCTGCTCCCTCTCTCTCTAAAAATCAATAAATAGGAAAAAAAAGTAGAAAGCTTCTTATGGGTTCTGTTATGATTTCTTAGTGGTTTCGGTAGAGATTATGGCATGTTTCCTTGATTATTAAAGTTTGATATCAATTCCTAGGTCTTAGAACATTGAACTCTATCTACCCCACCCCCGCTCTGCCTGCTTTTTGAGATCTTGCTTCTAAGATTTTTTTTGTGTGTTCAATTTTCAGGAGGTTGTTTGTTTGTTTGTTTTTACTGTAATGTGCCTTAGTGTGGGTTTTTTTTTTTTTTTTGTATTTAACTTTTTGGAGTCTAGAGTACTTCTTAAATCTATGTCCGAATTTCTTGTTTCTGTTTTGCAAAACTTTAAAGCATTATTTTTAAATATTGCATTTGTTCTCTTCTTTATGCCCTGTTCTTACAAAAGTCCATTTACACATAGGTTGGACCTTTTTATTGTGTTCTACAAGTATTTTTATCCTCATTTCTTTATTTTCCATGCATTTGCCTCTGCATGTTTTGCTCTGTATATTTTCTACTGACTTGTCTTCCAGTTTGCTGATCCTGTTTTTAGCTGTGTCTTATCTACTGTCAAACCCATATGTTGAGTTCTCGATTTCATTTCTTCGTTCTAGCTTTCATTTGATTCTTATTTCAGATTTCAGTTCTGGTGAAATTATCCATCTTGCTATCTGTTTTCTTGACCACAGTAATCACAGTCATTTAAAGTCTGTGTCTGTAAATGACAATATTTGGATCCTCTAGAGCAGTGGTTCTCAACCTTCCTAATGCCGTGACCCTTTAATACAGTTCCTCATGTTGCATGTGGGCGTATCTGCATGTGGGCGGACCCGCCTGGAGACAGAGGAGCATTGTCTCGGTTCCTAAGACCATCCGAAATATGTGTTTTCTGTTGGTCTAAGTGACCCCTGTGAAAGGGTCTTTTGACCCCCAGGTTGAGAACCATGGCTCTAAAAGTTTGTTACTATTGCCTGTTTTTTCCTCTTGATTTTCACTGTTTGGGCTTGTCTCCTGGTCTAGAGGAAAAGTCTGGGCGTTACCCAGGGCCTCCCTTCCGCAGAAGGCCCTGTCAGACTGTCCAGCATCTACTCTAATGCAGTGTTGACTCTAAGTCGGCACTGTCTTGCAGACGTGTAGAAATCTAGTGTGTCTCACACTTAGAGTATGTCTCAGTTGGGAATAGCCGCATGCTAGGTGCTCATAGCTATTGTCTCAGACAACACAGCTCTAAGGGAGCATGGGCTGAATGTGGGGGCTCCCTTCTTTCCAGGGGAGCCAGACGCGGAGCTGGTGGCTCACCACGTGAGTGTCCACTGTGTGCTTGCTGTCCAGTCTGCACTGTGCCACCAGGGCTCATGCTGCCAACTTGGGGATGAACCAGGAAGTGAATTCACATGATTGGGGCTCATGTGAGCTGCAGGGTCTTCCCTCGCCCCCGGCTGCCCTGGGCTCCCATGGTCCTTTGTGGCCCTGATCACATGGGCTGGCTGATGTCAACACCCCTGCCCCACACTCTGGCCAGTGCCTTGCCCAGGGAGAGACTCCCTGTCTTTTGCTCTGGTGCAGTGCCTGCCCCACGGGGCATGTCGGATGTTCAGCTCTGGCTGCATCTCTGCTCAGCAGACACTGGCCTGAGGCCACCGGTGGCCATAGCTCCTGCTGCCTGGCCTGGGAAGTCACCTTAGATCTGGTGGTGGGATTGCTCGGGCTGCCTGGGGCCTCTGGGCAGGAGAGCAGGGAGGTCTCGGTAACTTTCCTCTGGGGGTGGGACTTGGAGGACTTGGCCAGACAGGGCCTTCCGCAGCAGGAGTCATCAGGGTCCCCCATCTCTCTGTTCCTGAGCACCCCGAGCGGCGAGGCTGGGCTTTCTCTGGGGTGGGAGGTGTGTGGGGGAGGGAGGTCTTCTTTCTGGGGCAGGGTCCACAGAATTTAGCAGAGTGTCACAAGGACCTTGCTACCCTGGGGTGCCCCAGCCTTTGAACCCCTTGTGATGCCTCTTGAGTGGCCCCACCCCAAAGGGGTTTACCTGTGAACAGCCTGGCCCTGGGGGTGGGGGTATTTACTGTCCTGTCCCTCCTCTCCCCACAGGTATCATCCTTGGGTGGGCTGTTTGTCAGCTGACCATGTCCGTGTGTGTCCACATTGATCTCTAGGGTTCCCATGGGGCAGCTGGCCCTTCCTAGAAACCAGATAGGGGTGTGGTCAGCTGCAGGAGTGGCTGCGGCCAGCCTTTGTGTGCTGGGCTTCGGGGTCACCTTGGGGGAGTGCCCATGCTCTTGCTTGGGGGTCCCGGATGTGCTCTTGCTCGTCCGAGGAGGCCACGGCCAGTGGGCATGTCACACCATGATGACCTGCTTCTCTGGCCCACTTGGGGTTAGGACACACGTCCCTGAGGAAAGCCAAGCCCTCCTTGGTGCCACATCCTGTGTGCTGTCTATTGCCCTGGCCTCGCAGTTTCTCTCGTCCCACCTGGGAGGGCGGGGTCAGGAGGAAACCTGGCCCCTCCATGACTCTGACCCTGCCCTCGACTGTGTTTGGGGCTGGTTCAGTTTGTCCACGGCCTGTGTGAGGCTGAGGTCCCTGGGGAGGTTTGTCGGGTGGAGGGCCTGGCCAGCTTGCTCTTGCCCTGGGGATGCTCGTGGCCTGTGTGAGGCTGAGGTCCCTGGGGAGGTTTGTCGGGTGCAGGGCCTGCCCAGCTTGCTCTTGCCCTGGGGATGCTCGTGGCCTGTGTGAGGCTGAGGTCCCTGGGGAGGTTTGTCGGGTGCAGGGCCTGCCCAGCTTGCTCTTGCCCTGGGGATGCTCGTGGCCTGTGTGAGGCTGAGGTCCCTGGGGAGGTTTGTCGGGTGCAGGGCCTGCCCAGCTTGCTCCTGCCCTGGGGATGCTCGTGGCCTGTGTGCCTCTGAGCAGCTGCTCCCACCCCAGGCTGCCTGCCCCAGATGTGCAGCCTGCCACTCACTCGGTCCTCTTCCTTCCCTTGGCTTCTTCCTGCCTTGTCCCCACTGTGCTGAGAACGTCTGTTGGCTGCCAACCATGGCTCTGTCTGCGCCCCTCATAAGGGTGGTGGGAAGGGCCCTGCAGTTTGCTCATGACGTAGAGCTTGGGTGGGGGATGGGCAGAGGCCTTCATCCCAGGGCTGTCCTGCACAGAGGGCCTGTCCCCAAACTGACGCACTGCATTCACGCCAGGGATGGGGTCTCTCTGACAGGCAGGCAGGGGGCATCCCCACCCCCATTGAACCTCATTCCACAGGGGACCCCACCCAGATCCCAGTGGAAGCCTGGGGATGGGAGGTCACCATGGACCGGATGACAGACCGCACAGTGCTCAAAGGACCTGAGGAGGCCCGATGGTGCTTCCGTGGGTTGGGAACACGCTCAGATCGAGCCTGGAGGGCTCTGCCCCGGGGTGTACTGGCCCCCTCACCCCCTGTGCCGGCTGACGGGGCCCACGGCGCAGAGATGGGTGCTGGCCTGGCCTCGTTCTGGGGTCATGGCTCACCGTGGATGGTGTGTGGGACAGTTGGGAGACATGCATCACATTTGTTATCTCATCCGTCAACTGCAAACTACGAATTTGTGAAGGCAACTCAATCCAGCAAAAGCTGACCCTCTGAGCTGCGTGATCTAGAAAAGAAGCTGAAATTCCAATATGCGTTGTCTCAGGGCAGAGAAGTGTGGCCAGGTGGTCAGTGAAGACTCTCTGGAAAACTGTTCCATTAGCCGTGTAGGAGCGCACCTCAGTTTATTCCCACATCTGTGAAACGGCCAGAGGGGCCATCCAGTGCCGTGGGCCCACTTCCGGGCATTAACACACAGTCAGTGTTCAGTGTGCTGGAGCTGATGCCCTTCAGCACGAGCACACTGACGACTCCGTGGTCCAGATCCCAGCGCGCAGGTGGCCAGGGCACCTCGGTTTACCGTCTCCTGTAGGTGGCAGCCAGGCTGGCCCACCAGGCTGGCTGCGGGCGGCTCTGCCTCTCGAGGGGCGAGCAGGGGGCCCAGCGTGGCCTGTCAAAGGGCAAAGGCCCCTTAAAGACACTGGCTCCCAGGGGAGTGTGCACCTCCCCTCTGCAGAGAGTGGTAATAAAAGCTGTGAGGGGCTGCGCAGCAACATGATCTGTGTCCTCCTCAGGGAATGACAACCTCGTTGGCCCCGGTGACAGGGACGATATGAGTGAGTGAGCGCCTTACACTCCCGGGGCTGCCTGTCCAGGGGATTTTACCCACAGCCCCTGCCCAGTGGGGTCCTCCCCCCGGTGCTCTGCCTCCCATGGGAGGGGCTGGGGCATGTCTTACGTGGCAGCAGCGGCCGGAGGCCTCTGGAGGGCTACTTGTTTTAGTAACGGTGCCTTTATTTTATTTTTTATTCTTCTTTATTTTTAGAGAAAGAGAAAAAAAGAGGGGGAGAGAGATAGAAACATCGATGAGAGAAAACATCGATGAGAGAGAACATTGATGGGCTGCTTCCTGCATGCCCCCCACTGGGGATCGGGCCCAGAACCTGGGCATGTGCCCTGACCGGCAATTGAACCAGTGACCTCTTGGTGCAGGGTCCACACTCAACCACTGATGGGCATGTTTTCTTTTTATAATCAGAGAAAAAGCTCGCAAACAGTACGCAGTGAGATGTGCCCGGAGTCATTTTTTCTCTTCCCCCAGGAATTGGGGATTGCACCTGCCATGTGCCCCTGGAGCTCAGGGCCCGTCCAGCGTGTGGTGCAGTCAGAGCTTTCTGGAGCGAGCCGGGTGGTCTCAGGCCCGGCAGGTGTGCTCTTCAGCTGCTCTCTCCCCAGGTACGAGATCAAGGACCTGCTCAACCACGCCTTCTTTGCAGAGGACACGGGCGTGAGTGTGGAGCTGGCTGAGGAGGACCACGGCAGGAAGTCCACCATTGCCCTGAGGCTATGGGTCGAGGACTCCAAAAAGCTGAAGGGCAAACCCAAGGACTATGGGGCCATTGAGTTTACCTTTGACCTGAAGCGGGAGACACCAGATGATGTGGCACAGGAGATGGTAAAGTGATGCCCGCTGGTGGCGGGTGGCAGGTGGGTGGGGGCCAGTCCTGTGTGTGGCTGCGAAGCCAGAGATGAGAACAGTCAGGAAGGCGCGTGCTCCCCGCCGAGAGCTGGGTCTGGACCGAGGACCGTGTGCTGAGTGCATGCTCCCTGCTGCGGAGGTGGGGCGTCTGCTCAGATCCCGCGCAGACGGGCTCCCGTGAGTCAGCAGAGGCCCTGTTTTGACCAGATTCTTGCCGACTTTGTGTAAATGTGGACCTTTGGATCTTTGTTTTATTTTGTTGTCAAGTGGTGTGTGGCCCCCAAAGGCCCGGCGGGAACAGGGGTACAGGGATGTTCCATGTTGCAGAGAGAGGAAAAGTACCCATTAGACATTAATGAGAACGATTTTGACTGGGAAAACTGAGCAGAAGTAAAAATGAGCCTGGTCACTGTGAAAGGGCTGGTGTGTGGCTGTCATAACCACAGAAAGTGCGTGTCCTTTCTCATTTAAATTTTTTTTTCCTTTATTGATTTTAGAGAGAGAAAGGGAGAGGGTAGATGGAAACATTGATGAGAGAGAACATTGACTGGCTGCCTCCTGCACGCCCCCCTGTGCATTGGGCCCAGAACCTGGGCATGTGTCCTGACCGGGAATTGAACCGGCGACCTCTTGGTGCTGGTTCGACACTCAACCACTGAGCCACACCAGCTGGACCCTTTTTCTCTTTTTAAAATGTTTTACTGAATAGAGCACATCTTTTAAAAGTGTATCTAAGCCACGAGGGTATGACCACAGATTCTTCTCGGCTGGGCGCCCCAGCCCTGGTGGGTTTTAAGAGTGGGGAGTGGGCTGGGTGCTGGGGGTGGCCTGGGAGAGCTGGAGGGAGCCCACCTGAGCAGACTCCTGTGGGCAGCAGGCCCTGCTGAGCCGAGGAAACAGGCCGGCCGGGCCATGTAAGGTGTGGGAGCCACAGCCGAGGGCTGGTCGGTGAGCTCACTGGGGCCCATGCAGGGCTCGGTGGTGCAGTAGGTCGGCGCGGGACGGAGCCGGCATTTGCAGTGGCTGTGACATCCTGTTGATGGCCTGGAGCCCAGGTCGGGACCATAGGCACCTTCCTGCCGCCAGTCCTGTCCCTGGTCCTGGAAACAGACTCTCTGAGCAGACTGAGTGGGTCTTCCGGCTCCGTGTGCCTGGTGCACTGTTGAGCCGCTAGGCTGACTGAGTGGCGTCAGTAATAGTCACCAGCCCGGCTGTCCAGTGGGTGTCGGGCACCCTTTCTCCTCATGCCGCACCGCGGTCCCTGAGTGCTTTCTGCTGGCATAAAAGCACACACACAGCCCTGGCCGGTTTGGCTCAGCGAGTCCCGGGTTCGGTTCCCACTAAGGGCATGTACCTCAGTTGCAGTTTGTCCCGGATCCCGGTTGGGGTTGTGTGGGTGGCAACCAGTCGATGTGTCTCTCTCACATCGATGTTTCTCTCTCTCTTCCTCCCTCTCTCCCTCCCGCTCTATCTGAAGATAAGTGCAAAAATGTCCTTAGGTGAGGATAAAAAATAAAAATAAAACGCACATGATGAGTGAAGCGGTGTGCAGCTTTAGCCCGTGAGCCGGGTTCAGGAGCGGCAGGACCTTCCTGGCCAGCAGTGCACACTGACCAGGAAGAGGGGGACAGCCCCTGGTGCACAGGAGGTGGGTCCCTGGGACAGCCTGGACCCACCTGTGCCCTCTGCGCCAGGGGAGCCTTCCTGCCCCAGGAGGGTCTCAGGACTTCCTGGGTGTGGGGACTCGGTGGGGGCCCAGCTGGGTCAAGTGTGCAAGGGGAAGGACATCGGGGGTCGGTGCACAGGGACCCCGCGTGGTGCTTCCGTGGCTGTTTCCCAGTGCTGTCTGCGCCTCACCCTGCCGGACGCCTCCCCTGCTCAGGCTTTGGACTCCACTGCTCTTCCTGGGACCTGCCCACCCCCTGGACAATGCTTCCTCACCTAGAATGCCCGGCCCCCCAGCACAGCTGCCCGCCCAGGCCCATCCTCACGGTCCCCAGCACGTGGCTGAATGGGTGGGCAGGCGGTGTCTCTGCCAGCTCCCAGCAGAGGCCCCGGCCCAGTGTTCCCCTCCCCCCTCGGCCCCCTCCCCCACTCCTCAGAACTGCTTTTCACGCGGACATCTTCCGTGCATGTGGCATCCAGCAGGAGAAGGCGCGTCACTGTGTTCAGTCCCAAAATAAACAGAACAGTGTGTCTCCGCCACCCTGCGTAGGGGACGGGAGCCCGGTGCCTGGACGGAGCTGCTGTGCTGACCCAAGAGCACCGCCCTGTCCCTGCAGGGTCTCTCTGGTGTGAGCCCAGGCCTGAACCTGCAGGGTCTCGTCTGGTGTGAGCCCCGGCCTGATCCTGCAGGGTCTCGTCCAGCGTGAGCCCCGGCCTGAACCTGCAGGGTCTCCTCCAGCGTGAGCCCCGGCCTGATCCTGCAGGGTCTCCTCCAGCGTGAGCCCCGGCCTGATCCTGCAGGGTCTCCTCCAGCGTGAGCCCAGCCTGATCCTGCAGGGTCTCGTCCAGCGTGAGCCCCGGCCTGATCCTGCAGGGTCTCGTCTGGTGTGAGCCCCGGCCTGTCCCTGCAGGGTCTCGTCTGGTGTGAGCCCCGGCCTGTCCCTGCAGGGTCTCGTCTGGTGTGAGCCCGGCCTGATCCTGCAGGGTCTCGTCTGGTGTGAGCCCGGCCTGATCCTGCAGGGTCTCGTCTGGTGTGAGCCCGGCCTGATCCTGCAGGATCTCCTCCGGCGTGAGCCCCGGCCTGACCCTGCAGGGTCTCCTCCAGCATGAGCCCCGGCCTGTCCCTGCAGGGTCTCGTCTGGTGTGAGCCCGGCCTGATCCTGCAGGGTCTCGTCTGGTGTGAGCCCCGGCCTGATCCTGCAGGGTCTCGTCCGGTGTGAGCCCGGCCTGTCCCTGCAGGGTCTCCTCCAGCGTGAGCCCCGGCCTGATCCTGCAGGGTCTCGTCCAGCCTGAGCCCCGGCCTGATCCTGCAGGGTCTCCTCCAGCGTGAGCCCCGGCCTGATCCTGCAGGGTCTCGTCTGGTGTGAGCCCCGGCCTGTCCCTGCAGGGTCTCGTCTGGTGTGAGCCCCGGCCTGATCCTGCAGGGTCTCCTCCAGTGTGAGCCCCGGCCTGATCCTGCAGGGTCTCCTCCAGCGTGAGCCCCGGCCTGATCCTGCAGGGTCTCGTCCAGTGTGAGCCCGGCCTGTCCCTGTAGGGTCTCCTCCAGCGTGAGCCCCGGCCTGTCCCTGCAGGGTCTCGTTCAGCATGAGCCTCGGCCTGGCCTGGCCTAGGCTCCCAGGCTCCTGGCTGGTCCTGGTGGTCGATGCTGGGTCCTGTGGCTATTGGCCCGGTTCTGACCTCCCCACCCCCCAAAAACACTAGAGGGGACACCAGGATCCGGGGCCTCTAGCCGTCCCTGGGCCCCTCCTGAGCTGTCCCTGGGGCAGCTCCTGGCTGTTCGGGGCGGCGTCACGCATCCATCACTTTAACTCGGGGTACATCGCTCTTCCCACTCAGAGTGGCCCAGACGCTCACGAATGAGCCCTGTGGGTTGTCGCAGCAGAAGTGACTTCACAGGGAGACTCTGACAGCAGCAGTGTCACCGCCTGTGGGCCTGGGGCCTGGGGCCGTGTCTGGGCTGCCTGGCCCCTGGGCCCCAGGTCCCTGAGGACTGGGTGTGGGGATGTTCCAGAGCCTGTGTTCATCCGGGAGGCCGCCTCCCAGCTCTGCTGTCCTCTGGGTCCACCCCTGAGGCTGCTCCCACAGGTCCTGGGGCAGGGCCGCGGGTGGGGCAGTGGCTCAGAGAGGACGCCTGGGGGCCTGAGAGGGGCCTGGGCTGGCTCTGACCTGAGCTGTCCCCTCAGTGTGGACCCAGGGAGGGAGGGAGTTCACCAGGCCCTGCTCCTGTCCCCCTGCCTTCAGGGCCTCCGGAGCAGGGGCGCCCCGCCCGACAGGCAGTGAGCTAAACTCCCTCCTGACTGGGAAAAATAGAAGAACCGCCGGGAGAGGCTCGCTGGCCGGGGAGGGGTGGCGTCTGTGCGGTGGAGACAGAAGGGAAAGTGGGTCACGGGCAGAGAGCAGCAGAGGCAGGAGATCGGCGCCCTCTTTCCAGCCGCCTCTGGTCAGGCAGCCGCGTGGGCCCCTGGGCGGTGGATGTGCGGACCCCAGACCAGAGGGCAACCCAGCCCCCCGCTCAGCGCTCTGGCCTGCGAGGGTGTGTCTGCTTCAGGGGTCCTGCGGTGGAGGGTGCGGCCAGCCTGCCCTGTCCCTGGGCCCCGCCCGCCAGGGGCTTCCCCGTGGTCACATGGCCCAGGGCGGCTCCAGGGGTCAGGAATGCAGTGCTAATTAACTCTGTGGGAGGGACTTTGGGACCATGCGGATGTCCTGGTTCCCCCAGATTTTCTATCTGTTCCTGTGTCTGTGGGCTGTTTGGTTTCATTCACTGGGTTGTAGGCTCCGTTGGTGAGGTGCCTGTCACCGTGTTGCAAGTGACCCAGCTTCGCGCTGTGCTCACACTGTCCCCCTAGTGTCAGGAGTGGCTTAGCAGGCGATGTGGGATCGGGGCCCCTCGTGAGTGTGGCTGGGTGTCGGCCAGGGCTGAGCTTGGCTGGTGGGGCTCATTAGGGCTGGGGATCCGCAGCTGAGCTCACTCACCTGCTGCTGGTGGGACACTGAGTTTCTAGCCAGGTGGATGCATGATGTGGCTTCGTGGGAGCCAGTGACCTACAGGAGGGAGAGACACAGACAGAGACACTGAGGGGCTGAGAGACCGACAGACAGTGAGACAGACCGACTCAGAAACAGACAGGCACACAGAGAGAGACGGAGACAGAAGGAGAGGGACGGGAGAGACAGACGGCGTGCAGGTGTGTGGCCCCCTTTGTGGGACCGCGTACCGGAAGGACAGTCCTGCCGTGTGGTCCCTGTGATCCTCCGGCATGCGTCTGAGGACGTAGCCTTGTGCCCCCAGGGCAGCTCTGTGCCTCTTGGTGCTCAGCGTCCCAGATGCACCCTGGGCAGCCCTGGGCGGCTCCTGCCTTCTCCACACACGACCTCCCGTTGCGGCAGAGGGAGACACCCAGGCCTCCTTGCCCTCCTCCTGCTGACCTGGACCCGCTGTTTCGTGGAAGCCCCCCCTCAGTGCCCGAGAGCCAGCATGCGTGTGCTGTCAGTCACATGCACACACACGCGTGTACTCGTGGCAACATTTGCGTGTGTGACTGTTGTACGTGGAAATCTGCGGGTTCACACGGTTCCCGGCCAGCACTGCAGGGGTTCTTCTCTGCTTCTCCCCCTTCCTCACGGGGATGCCACGGTGATGGCGAGGAGCCTGGTTTCCCCTGTTCTGTGGTTGGGCCACGCATCTCCGTGGACAGAGCCGTGATATGTCCCGGGGCCTCGGCGCCTTCACAGACGCCGTCCGACACTCGGGTACCTCAGGGCCGTGAGGTCGCCAGGCACGGTGCCCACCTTCCTGGTCTCAGGCTACAGAACGCGCCTCTCTCCGGCCTCCACGGCTCCACGGAGAGTGGGAGCTGAGGACGCCGCTGGCCACGGACGCCGCCTGTCCCCGAGCACCCACACTCGGCCAGGAGCACCTTCCCACCCGGGCGGCCTGGGCGCGGGGCTCCCGGCAGCTCGAGTGTTGGGATGACGGGCTGTCCGGGTGGGGGGCAGGCCAGGGTCTGCTCCCTCAGTCCCAGCTGTGCTGGTGCAGGCTCAGAGGTCCCCTCCCTGCGGAGTTATGGTCGTGGCTGGAAGTTGCCTCCCTACGGGGTGACGAGAGCGTCCCTGAAGGAGGGAGTGAGGGGCCTAAGGGGGACTCGGCAGAGGCGCCGTGATCGGGGGTGGCGGTGGGATGTGCAGGCGGGGACGGTCGCGGAGACGACAGGTGACTTCCTTTGCAGGTCGAGTCTGGCTTCTTCCACGAGAGCGATGTGAAGATAGTGGCCAAGTCCATCCGCGACCGCGTGGCCTTGATCCAGTGGCGGCGGGAGAGGATCTGGCCGGCGCTGCAGCCGCAGGAGCCGCCGGACCCGGGCAGCCCCGACAAGGCCAGGGGCCTGCACGTGCCCCTGCAGGTCCAGGTGACCTACCGTGCGCAGGCCGGGCCCCCGGAGCCCGAGGAGCCCGAGGCGGATCAGCACCTCCTCCCCACCTTTGTCTACATTGCGAGTGGCCACTCTGCTGACAGCCTGAGAGGGGCCCCATGGGAACAGCTTGGTGGTCAGAGGGCCCCCGTGTCCTGCTGGTGTAGCTTTGGGGTCTGGAAACAATGCACCGGGAGTGCCCTTTTAAAAGGTCTTGCTGTTCACCTGTTGCTGGCACAGCCACGGTCACCTGTCTTCCCATGAGCCGGGCCCCGTGGGTGCGGTCTGCTCCCTCCTCCACCCTCCCCAGATGTGGCAGCTCGTCCCCTGGGCAGTCTCGCTGCCGTGCGGGGCTGAGTGGGGGCAGGCGGGGAGCCCGGGGCCCTCTCATGGCGTCCGTACGGGGTGGAGGCAGGTCAGCCCGTGTTCCAGCCCAGGTGGACCCAGCCTGTGCCTTGAGAGGCCGGCGATGGACCAGATCCCCCGCTGCAGACTCTTCCACTGAAGGAGGTCGGGGTCTCGGGACCCGGCCCCCCATCATCACACACCGGTGACAGTAGACCGGAGCTTTTCCTAGCTTGGACGTCCCAGCCCCCAGGGCTCCTGTGCCTTTGCAGAAATGGGCAGGGCTCACTGTCAAGGCCAGGTTGGGCGCCCTGTGAGGTCCCCGTCTCAGCCAGGGTGGAAGCAGCTTGTGAAGACGGTGTGAGGAGCCCCCTGGGAAATGGGGTGGCCCGTGGCAGCCTCCTAGGGTGTCAAGCAGTGTGGGCGGCCAGGGCCGTGTCTGGGTGGTGCAGTTTGCCCCCCGCCCTGCTCCGTATTGACTGTGTAGAGTGACCACTGTCATTATTTACGTGATCTGGAAACAACCAGCCTTTGTTCTACAGAAGAGACCGTGAGGGCGGGCGGAGCGTCCCTGCGTGGCCCACACCGGGGTCCCCCGGGCCTCGTGTGGAATGCTGTGGGGTGCCGGGGAACCCGCTCTGAGCCGTGCCTTTGCCTCCGCAGCGGACAGCACCTTTGACAGCGGCCAGGGCTCCACCGTATACTCGGACTCGCAGAGCAGCCAGCAGAGTGTGGTGCTGGGCTCGCTGGCGGACGCGGCCCCGCTCGCCGCCCAGAGCGTGTGCAGCCCCCCGGTCAGCGCAGGCGAGGGGCCTGTCCTGTCGCACAGCCTGCCCTCGCTGGGGGCCCACCAGCAGCCTGCCACGGTGAGTCCGCTCGGTCCTCCCGCAGGGGCCCTGTCCCCACAGCCGGGGTCTGACAGGCCGTCTAGGCTGCGCTGTCTGCAGGGGCCCTGTCCCCACAGCCGGGGGTCTGACAGGCCGTCTAGGCTGCGCTGGCCGCAGGGGCCCTGTCCCCACAGCCGGGGTCTGACAGGCCGTCCAGGCTGCGCTGGCCGCAGGGGCCCTGTCCCCACAGCCGGGGTCTGACAGGCCGTCTAGGCTGCGCTGGCCGCAGGGGCCCTGTCCCCACAGCCGGGGGTCTGACAGGCCGTCTAGGCTGCGCTGGCCGCAGGGGCCCTGTCCCCACAGCCGGGGTCTGACAGGCCGTCCAGGCTGCGCTGGCCGCAGGGTCCCTGTCCCCACAGCCGGGGGTCTGACCGGCCGTCTAGGCTGCGCTGGCCGCAGGGGCCCTGTACCCACAGCCGGGGGTCTGACCGGCCGTCCAGGCTGCGCTGGCCGCAGGGGCCCTGTCCCCACAGCCGAGGGTCTGACCGGCCGTCCAGGCTGCGCTGGCCATGCAAAGGCAGGTGCCCAGACGGTCCGTCCTCGTCAGGGCTGCAGGGCTGCGGGCTGCAGCGGCCTGTGACCGACCCTGGGAGGCCGATTGATGAGAACGTGCAGGCAGAGCCCAGCGACAGCCCGGCTTGCAAAGCTGTGGTCGCTGGCGGGCCCCGTGCTGCCGGGTGCCGGGGCAGGTTTGAGTGTCCAGCATCGCTGGGGCCGCGGCCCTCTGCTGGGTGTGCCGTGGCCACTGCAGGTCCCAGGTGTGGGAGTGGCTGTCGTGAGAAACGTTCTCAGTGACCTTGGGAAGCGGGATCGAAAGAGCGTCGTGCTTATGGCTGAGGAATGATTTGTAAGCCTGGTAGAGGAAGTGGAAATGGCTCTCTGAGGGGGTCACAGTTGGCGTTTATTTTTTATTTTGATGCTAAAGAAGGAGAAGCGGATGCTGGCTTCGAAGCCCTAGCCCCTTGGAGTGGGCAGTGGGTGGCCCCGAGGGAGAGGGAGCCCTGAGGCCCGGGAGTGCTCTCCCAGGTCTTGCCTATTTACGCAGAAACAGCCTGGACAGAGGTGGGCATCGGAGGGGCCCCCAGGGTGTACTCAGCTGTCCTAGGGAGGGTGATGGTGGTGACGTGCCCTTGAAACCCAGTGAAGGAGGAGAATAGGGCGGAGGGTTGGGGGCAGAGCCACTCGGGGTGCGGCTGGAGGAGCAGGTGCATGGCCCCTTGTCTCACCCTGGCTGCTGGTGAATGCACAAGACAGGGGTCGCCCACCATGCTGCCTTGCACAGTGTCTTCACTGTGGAAGACGGAATGACTGATGGCAGGTTCAGATGACCAGGGACTGTCCCATGACCCATCCAGAGAAGCTCAGTGAGAGCGATCTCCCTTGGCGGTGATAGCCGAGCTCTTTCCTGTTTCCTCCATCCCCCACTGCTCCTCGCTTCCCCCTTATTTTGAAGTAAATCCCAAACAGAAAGATCTTTTGCCCATAAGTATGTCAGTCTGTCTCTCTGCAGGATCGAGACTTTCGAAACAAAACCCAACGCCCTGATGGTACCTAAAAATGAGCCAGGGGACAGCGGTTTTGACTGGCATCCCATGGGGAGGGGTCTCTGACCACACCCCTTGTCTCCGCCCTGGCCCCCAGTGAGGGCTCCGCCCGCGGCCCCATTTTCCTGACCGAGCTCTGGAAACTCCGCTGCGCAGGTGTGGTCGCTGTTTCCGTGTCTGCCGTGTGCACGCAAGTGTGTGTGTCAGACTGTCCTGTGGACAACAAGCATTTGCACTGCTGTCAGAACACACATTTCTCCATGACGCCACAAAGTTGTAGTGGTCTTTTCTCGTGGCTGCGTGGCAGTCGGTGGACTGGCGGTAGAACATGCCTTGGTGAGCGTTGTGGCTGGTCTCAGTGTAGTGCCCACTCCTTGCTTCTGCGAGTCTGTTCCTGGGAAACGGTCCCTGGCAGGACAGTGGGCAGGGGTGAGATGGCTCTCTGTGGCCGTCAAGCTCGTGGCTGGGGGGTCCTGGGGCAGCCACTGAGCGTGCCCCCGGCACTCTCTGCAGCCTGGCCTGTCGGTGGGCTCCGTTCCACCTCCCACCCGTACCTCGCTCCCGCCGCAGCATTTCCCAGAGCCTGCCACCAGCTTTGCCCCTGTGCTGACTGGCCCCGCCTTGCCTATGCCCTCGGGACACCAGGTGAGTGGGCTGCGCCTCCTCCAGGCCTCCGTCTCCCCTGCCAGCCAGGTCCCAGCCCAGCGTGCTGGTGGGGGGGGGGGTCACTTGTGTTTGTGGAATGAAGTCCCACAGCACTTGGAGGGCCTCATTCACACACAGCAGTTCTCAAAGAGCTGTGCATCCTGGGCTCCCTGCTGGGTGTGCATATGTGTGTGTGCACACGTGTGGGTGGGTGTGTATTCATGTGCACACGTGTGTGTGCATGTGTGAAGGCATGCATGCATGTGTGGGGTATGCTTGCAAGTGTGCATGCACAAATGTGTGGGCATGTGTGGGTGGGTGGGTGTGTATTCATGTGCACATGTGTGTGTGCATGTGTGAGGGCATGCATGCATGTGTAGGGTATGCATGCACATGTGTGGGGGGTGCACGTGCGTGGGCATGCATGTGTGGGGTATGCATGCAAGTGCGTGGGTGCATGTGCATGTATGTGCATGTATGCATGCATGTGGGTGCACACATGTGGGAGAGGGTGTGCATGTCTGTGTGCATGCATGTTTGTGGGTATGTGTGCACATGTGTGAGGTGTGCACATGTCTGTGGGGTGGGTATGCATGCATGTACATGCATGTGCTCATGCTCACTGATTTTCTGTCATGTCTAAGTGCCCGAGGCGTCTCTTGGAAGGACACTGGTCTAAGAGAAGCCCCTTCTCCCTGCAGCCTCCTCCACTGGCCCAGCCAGCACCCCTGCCACAGGTCCTGGCCCTAAAGCCTGCGGGCCCTCTTCAGCCGGTGCCCCCACACCTGCCTCCATACCTGCCTCCCACCTCCCAGGTGGCCCCAGTGCCGCCGAAGCCCGTCCAGATGCCGCCAGCGCCCCTGCAGCCACTCACCCAGGTCCCTCCACAGGTACCTACCTCGCCCTCCTGTCCTCCAGCCTCCTCCCTCGTGGGGCTTTGGTGCTGCCGGCCTGTGTGTCTGTCTCAGGTGCGTCTGGATGAGGAGGAGCCAGGGCAGGGCTGTGAGTACGCAGCTGCGGCCACTGTCTGTCCATCCAGCCATCTGAGGCCGTGTTGACTGTGGCTCCTTGGGGTGGGGTCAGACATCATGTTGCCTGTGACACCTGACAGCGTGTGGTTGGTGCCCAGGAGCCTGGGCTCCTGTCATGGCCAGTATGGGGACAGCTTCCACCTCACGCGGTGTCCCGGGGCTATGGTGGGAAGTGCTGCTTCCTGTGGAAGGCGTGCGTGTCCCCCAGGCTCACCCCTCAACCCAGAAGTTCTTACCTGTCAGCTGTCACCCTCACCCGCCCTCGTCCTCGTCACGCCCTGTCAGTCGACTCACCATCAAGCAAACCCGCCGCCTTGCTTGGTGGCCACGGCACTCAGCTGGTTCCAACACACGGGAGCCGGTCGGCGCCCTCCCTGCCTGAGAACCGGAGGCGCTGCTGATGCGACACCGCGTGCCTGCCGCCAGCAGGCCTGGCCCTCGCGCCCTTGTGCCCTCTACCCCGCGGCGCGGCACAAAGGACATTGTTTGCCAGTCTGACAAAAATAGTCATAACGCTCACCAAGGCATGTTCTGCCGCCAGTCCACCGACCGCCACGCAGCCACGAGAAAAGACCACTACAACTTTGTGGCGTCATGGAGAAATGTGTGTTCTGACAGCAGTGCAAATGCTTGTTGTCCACAGGACAGTCTGACACACACACTTGTGTGCACACGGCAGACACGGAAACAGCGACCACACCTGCGCAGAGGAGTTTCCAGAGCTCGGTCAGGAAAACGGGGCCGCGGGCGGAGCCCTCACTGGGGGCCATGGCGGAGACAAGGGGTGTGGTCAGAGACCCCTCCCCATGGGATGCCAGTCAAAACCGCTGCCCACTGGCTCATTTTTAGGTGCCATCAGGGTGTTGGGTTTTGTTTCGAAAGTGTCGATCCTGCAGAGATACAGACTGACATACTTATGGGCAAAAGATCTTTCTGTTTGGGATTTACTTTGAAATAAGGGGAAGCGAGGAGCAGTGGGGGGATGGAGGAAGCAGGAAAGAGCTCGGCTATCACCGCCAAGGGAGATCGCTCTCACTGAGCTTTTCTGGATGGGTCATGGGACAGTCCCTGGTCATCTGAACCTGCCATCAGTCATTCCGTCTTCCACAGTGAAGACACTGTGCAAGGCAGCATGGTGGGCGACCCGTCTTGTGCATTCACCAGCAGCCAGGGTGAGACAAGGGGCCATGCACCTGCTCCTCCAGCCGCACCCCGAGTGGCTCTGCCCCCAACCCTCCGCCCTATTCTCCTCCTTCACTGGGTTTCAAGGGCACGTCACCACCATCACCCTCCCTAGGACAGCCGAGTACACCCTGGGGGCCCCTCCGATGCCCACCTCTGTCCAGGCTGTTTCTGCGTAAATAGGCAAGACCTGGGAGAGCACTCCCGGGCCTCAGGGCTCCCTCTCCCTCGGGGCCACCCACTGCCCACTCCAAGGGGCTAGGGCTGGGAAGGAGCATCTGCTTCTCCTTCTTTAGCATCGAGATCAAAATAAAAAATAAACGCCAACTGTGACCCCCTCAGAAAGCCATTTCCACTTCCTCTACCAGGCTTACAAATCATTCCTCAGCCATAAGCACGACGCCCTTTCGATCCCGCTTCCCAAGGTCACTGAGAACGTTTGTGTATACCAGTTGGCTATTACTGTGTAGGCTGTTGTCATTGTTTTATGTGACAGTCTAGGGGGGAAGTGGTCCGTGCCCCTGGATTGATGGTCAGTACTGCGTAGTTTAAAACACTTCATCCCGCCAGGTGAAAGGTGTTAGAGAGAAAACTGTCAGAGAACCGTCTGCAGTGTTCCCAGTGTGGATTCCACGCGGTCAGATACTGGGGGTCTCTGACCAGAAGGGTTGGGGGCTCCCACTGTGGGGAGAGGCCGTCCTCCCCAGTCCTCACGGCACGGCCAACGGGGGGACTCGGCGTATGCTCTCCCCAACAGGCCCCGACAAAGAATTGGTCTGTCAGAAGTTACACAGGTCGGGGAGTCAGGCAAAGTAATTTCAGATGTTTGGGGCCTGCCTGGTGCCTCTGACCATCCTGACCTTCTTTTTGTTTTAATCCTCACCTGAGGATACTGCTCCTTCTCCGCCCCTGGCTGGAGGCGGGGGGCAGAGTGGGCTCAGGCGGGCAAACAGCACGTCCCACAGGCTTGGCTTCTCATCCTGGGGGTGTCTGCTGCCTCCTCCCACCCCCAGCACATGTCAGGAGCCAAATGTTCCACTGTGGGCCCTTCCTGGGGGCTCCGTAGCAGCTGCTCGTGGGGGGTTCCCAGGCGTGCTAGATGCCATGGCACCTGCCCTCACCTAGGTGGGGCCTGGCAGCCTCCAAGGAGCTCTGTCAGCCCCTCTGTGGGTACCAGGGGGCTCACACTGCCCCTCTTGTCACCTGTCCAAATACGGTAGGTGGATAACCCGTCAGCAGGGGGACGGGGCACCGGGGTTCCAGGGTCTGTCAGCTGTGGTCCAGGCTGCTGGTTCCAAGGTGGTCATGGCAGATGAGGATGATGCCCCAGAGTCAGGGGGACCTCTCAGGCAGCTCCCCAGCGGACAGTGGAGGGACTCGGGGAGATGCACCGTGCTGGCGGGGGCAAGTCTCCCCCCCAGGGGTTCTACATACCTACATGGCCCGGCATGTAGAGCCCAGGGCTGCCACCCACCCTGTGAGGAGAGGGTGGCGTGGGGGCTTCTCACCTGGGGGCTTCTGACCTGGGGGCTTCTCACCAGGGGAGGCTTCTCACCTGGGGGCTTCTCACCTGGGGGCTTCTCACCTGGGGGGCTTCTCACCTGGGGGCTTCTCACCTGGGGGCTTCTCACCTTGGGTGCTTCTCTCCTGGGGGGCTTCTCACATGGGGGCTTCTCACCTGGGGGCCTCTCACCTGGGGGGCTTCTCACATGGGGGCTTCTCACCTGGGGGCCTCTCACCTGGGGGGCTTCTCACATGGGGGCTTCTCACCTGGGGGGCTTCTCACCTGGGGGCTTCTCACCTGGGCAACTTCTCACCCGGGGGGCTTCTCACCTGGGGGCTTCTCACCTGGGGGGCTTCTCACCTTGGGTGCTTCTCTCCTGGGGGGCTTCTCACATGGGGGCTTCTCACTTGGGGGGCTTCTCACCTGGGGGCTTCTCACCTGGGCAACTTCTCACCCGGGGGGCTTCTCACCTGGGGGCTTCTCACCTGGGGGGCTTCTCACCTGGGGGCTTCTCACCTTGGGTGCTTCTCTCCTGGGGGGCTTCTCACCTGGGGGCTTCTCACCTGGGGGGCTTCTCTCCTGGGGGGCTTCTCACATGGGGGCTTCTCACCTGGGGGCCTCTCACCTGGGGGGCTTCTCACATGGGGGCTTCTCACCTGGGGGCCTCTCACCTGGGGGGCTTCTCACATGGGGGCTTCTCACCTGGGGGGCTTCTCACCTGGGGGCTTCTCACCTGGGCAACTTCTCACCCGGGGGGCTTCTCACCTGGGGGCTTCTCACCTGGGGGGCTTCTCACCTGGGGGCTTCTCACCTGGGCAACTTCTCACCCGGGGGGCTTCTCACCTGGGGGCTTCTCACCTGGGGGGCTTCTCACCTGGGGGCTTCTCACCTTGGGTGCTTCTCTCCTGGGGGGCTTCTCACATGGGGGCTTCTCACCTGGGGGGCTTCTCAGCTGGGGGCTTCTCACCCGGGCAACTTCTCACCTGAGTGCCCTCCCACCTGGCCCTAAATCTCAACAGCCCTGTGTCTGGGGACACTATTTTTTTTTTTAATATTTTTTTCTTTATTGATTTTAGAGAGAGAGGAAGGGGAGGGAGAGAGAGAAACATCGATGAGAGAGAACATCGACTGGCCGCCTCCTGCAGGCCCCCACTGGGGATGGGCCCACAACCTGGGCATGTGCCCTGACCGGGAATCGAACCAACGACCTGTTGGTGCAGGGTCGATGCTCAGCCGCTGAGCCACACCGGCCGGGCCCCACTGAGAGGGAACCGGGGGTCAGGCCTGGCTCCAGGCCGCCGAGGAAGGTCAGCGTCCAGAGCTCCTCCCTCAGGAGGCAGGGTCCAGGGCTGGGTCCAGGCCTCGAGCTCGGGCTCAGCCAGACGCGCATGAGGGAAGTGTGGTTTCAGGGGAGGTTTTCCCAGGTGGGAACTCGAGACTGCTTTTTGTGTGTTTGTTCTCTAAGTCTATACACGTGTTCTCAGGCCGGGACTTGCCTGTGGCAGGAGTGGGTGCCCTAGATAGGGACACCTCAGCACCGCACCCCACATGCGCTGCCCGCGGGGACGGGGAGCGCCCGCTGTGCCAGGATGCCCAGGGCCCTCAGGGGTGGCGCTGGCACCTCAGCCTGCTGCCCGTCTTCTGTGCCCGCAGATCCTGCTGGGCCACCCGCCTCCCTACACTGTGGACGTTTCTGCCCAGGTGCCCACGGTGCCCGCTCCTGCCGCCGTCCTCTCCCCACCTCCGCCCGAAGTGCTGCCGCCCACCGCCCCCGAGCTCCCACCTCAGCCCCCCAGTTCCCTGGCCCCCACGGTGCTGGCTGCTCCTCAGGGCTGGCCTGTCCAGACTGCCGCGTTGCCTCCTGCTAGCCTGCCGCTGCCCAGGGGGCCTGGGGCCTCCAGCCCCTGCCCAGCCGTCCAGCTGACTGTGGAGTTGGCTCCGGAGGTGTGTGCCCCCCAGCATGTCCCCCTGCTACCTGGCCCCTGTGCTGGGTCTCAGCCCTAGAAGCGAGGAAGCTGGAGTGAGTCCTGGGCCTTGGGACAGACCTGGGCCCTCCCTCCGCTGGCCCCAGGTGTCCCTTCCCTTCAGTGCATTTCCAGGGGAAGGTGTGATACTCCTTTTACACGTAGATTTCGGGGACTTTCCTTTGGAAGTGACGGTGAGGCCTGTGAGGAGCCTTCCTGGGCCTGTGCTTCCTTGTGAGGATGATCAGAGTGGGTTAGTGTGTGGAAGGGGAGGGTCCGCTTTTAGGAATCGGCTTGGCTCCAGCAAGAGAAAACCCTCAGGCCCGCTGCCCTGTGCGGTCTGCTGGCAAAGGCAGAGGGAGCGGGCGTGGCTGGGCTGGACAGCCTGCGGGGTGCTGTGGGGGAGGGGCCTGGCCCCCCTCCTCTCCATGGTTGTATTTCAGGAGCAGGCCTCCCAGGACAAGCAGCCTGGCACCCTGCAGAGCTGTGAGAGGTAATGGCGCAGCTGGGGTGGGGCTGTCGGGGGACCCCATCTAGCTCCCCGCCCTGTGTCCAGGCTTCTCCTGACCTCAGCGGAGCCTCAGGGAGCTCCTCCGGGGTCTGTGTCCGCGCTCCCTGAGATGGGTTGTCTGATGCTCCGGGCGCGTTCTGGGGCTTGGTGCTGGTTGTGTGCTGAGGGCTCTCCAGGTCCGGGGCTGGGCGGGGACCAGGAGGCCTGGGCACACCCCGTCTCCCTGCAGTCTCCTGGTCCTGGGCACATTGAGTGTGGAGAGGGACCGTGTCCTCCCTCCCGGTGTGTCAGCCACAGCTTGCTGCTCTGCAGGTCCTCAGTCCTGGCAACAACCCCCTGTGGTTGGCATGTCCTTGTGCACAGAAAGGGAAACTGAGGCACCGGTGAGGGTTGTTTCTTAATTTTGATGTTTACCACGAGATAGCTGGGCCTTAACGGGCCACATGGTCACGAGGACCAAGGTGCTGGCCCCGAGAGCCCATGGCCTCCCCAGCCTCCGGGCTGCCCAGGACGGGGGAGGGGTTGCAGGTCCCGGGATTTCTCTGCTGGGCACACGCGGCTGCTCAGGGTTCTCTGGCTGGGCACACGCCAGCGCCTCTGGCTGTTTCCTGAAAAGCTAAGCTTCCCGCGTAAGGACAGTTTGCAGGTCATTTTCGTGGGCGCGGGAACATCCCTGGTTTCCCAACAGCTACGGAGGGTCTGATGCCACTTCCGGAAGGGAGCTGAGTGACAGCTGCGAAGGCACCTTCGGGGGCGGGAAGCTGGACGGCAAGCCTGCCCGGAGACACCACCGCCGGTCCACGCGCACACGCTCCCGCCAGGAGAGGGCCAGCCGACCCCGGCTGACCATCCTGAATGTGAGCCACAGGCGTGGAGGGTGGGGGCAGGGCCCTGGTCCCATCTCCTCCGGCTCTCATCACCTGTGTCCCTAGGTGTGCAACATGGGCGACAAGATGGTGGAGTGCCAACTGGAGACGCACAACCACAAAATGGTCACATTCAAGTTCGACCTGGACGGGGATGCGCCCGACGAGATTGCCACCTACATGGTGAGTGGGTGTCTGTCCGGTGGACTGGAGGGCACTTCTCTTGGGTAGGCTGTCTCCTCTGTGTCCTTCGGGCACTTGGCCGCCAGCCCTTCCTGTCCTGCAGCTCCAGCAGGTGACTGCCCACACCAGACACCCGGCGGGCTGCTGCTCCAGCCGTGGCCCCTCTTGCTGACCGTGCAGCCCTGGGCTCTGGGGCCAGCCCTGCCGCGTCTCCCCGTGGGGTTTAGGACAGAGCAGAGACCAAGCAAACCCGCAAGTGCAGCCTGGCTGTGTGTGCCGCCGCAGGTGGAGCACGACTTCATCCTGCCGGCCGAGCGGGAAACGTTCATTGAGCAGATGAAGGACGTCATGGACAAGGCGGAGGACATGCTCAGTGAGGACACGGACGTGGACCATGGCTCCGACACTGGGGCCAGCCCGCCGCCCCTGAGCACCTGCAGCCTGGGTGCCGGAGAGGTGAGCTGGGATGCTGGGTCCTGGGGGGCCAGGGCCCGCTCATCCCCAGCTGCAGGCCCCGAGGACAGCTCTGGGAGGCTGCCTGCCTGTTCGGGGAGCCTGCGGGGTGTGCAGTGCTGGGCGACGTGGCCCGGAGCAGGGCACCTTCAGCTGCCTTGGAAATACCGGGCCCTCGGGCCTCGGCTCTCAGAGGCTCTGAGGCTTCTGTGTGCTCCCAGCTCTCTGTCCATGCCGTCTACTCATTTCTGACCCTTTACCTCCCTCAGGAGAGTCGCCAGTCCCAAGCAAATGCCCCAGTGTATCAACAGAACGGTACGTCTGCCTCCTAGGCCACCCCCCACCAGACTCACCTTAGAGGAGGCGTTTCTGTCCGTGTCCCTTGTCTGCAGCAGGCATTTGATAAGAGCCCCATTGAGTGTATTATTAGGGGTAGGCCATCTCACGAGGGGTTGCTGGACTGGGTGCTGACCTCCCGTCCCTCACAGATGTCCTCCCTGTCTGGCCCAGGTGTCCCCTGAGCATGGCATGAACCCCCTGCCTGCTAGTCCCCAGCCGGCCTTGCCTTCCATGCCTCGGGCGTCCTGGGAGCTAAGCCATTGTTGGGGGTGCTTGTCAGGGCTCCGTGAGCGGGTGCACACTCCTCCCTGGGGAGGCAGATCCTCAGGGCGTCTGTGGTGAGTCTGGTGCCAGCAGTGAGGGCCCCGCGGAGACACGAGCTTGCCCTCACCAGCTGCTCTTGTCCTGCCCTGCAGTCCTGCACACCGGGAAGAGGTGGTTCATCATCTGTCCAGTGGCTGAACACCCAGCTGCAGAGGCCCCCGAATCCTCGCCCCCACTTCCTCCGAGCTCCCTGAAGCCCGAAGTCGGCCCAGGTAGGAACAGCCAGAGCGCCAGTCCTGCTGCCTGGCTACAGCGTGGCTCTGACCCGGGCATCGCCTGGCGTGACTCGTGCTCACGGCTCGCCGGCCGGGGCTGTGTGCCCAGCTATGGGCAAGGGACGGGCGCGCACTGTTACCCTGAGGCCCAGAGCCGCCTGGAGGCGGGCTGTGTTCCTCCCCGGACGTCTGCCCAGTGAGCCAGGTCAGGGAGCACTTTGGCTCGGGGCTGCTGGTCACCTTCGCTCTGCAGGGGCCGCACCTGAGCTGCACATGTGTGTGCTAAAGGGCTTTGCCGGTACCTGTTCTTGCCAGAGTCATTGTGCAGCTCCCGACGCCCTACCCTCCGCCGTGTGGCCCTGCAGGGGTGCCTGCTGGTTCTGCTTGTTTGTGGGGTGGGAACTCCCTTGTAATGTCGAGACTGACACTCGGACCTTGATGGCCCCGTGTGCACAGGTGCAGCAAGCTTGCCTTGGGCTGTCGGTGAAGTCCTGATTCTTGTGGTCCCTTGAGAGGCTGAAAATAATCACTTAAGCAGACTTAAGGTTTAACTCCCTGTGAGCCGGCAGGGCCAAGCTGTGATTATGTAACCTGACCTAGCGGGCGGTGCAGTAGTTCTCCAGTTTCATTTTCCGAGTTCTCAGGTGCCGTCGTCCGCGGTGGTCCAGACTATTAGACGGAAATCCCAGACAAAAACTTTTCAGTTGGATGTAGTCCCATTTCTTTACTTTTCCTTTTGTTTCCCTCGCCCGAGGAGACATATCAGAATAAAATATTGCCGTGAGAAATGTCTGAGATTTTACCACCTATGTTTTCTCCTAGGATTTTTATGGTTTCAAGTCTTACATTTAAGTCCTTAATCTATTTTGTGTTCATTCTCCAGTTTTCCCAACACTGTTTATTTATTTATTTTTTTAATCCTTATGCGAGGATATTTTTGCATTCATCTTCAGATAGAGAGGAAGGAAGAGAGAAAGAGAAACATCGATGTGAGAGAGACACATAGACTGGTTGCCACCCACACTACCCCAGCCGGGGTCAGGGGCAAACTGCAACCGAAATACGTGCCCTTAGCAGAAACCGAACCTGGGTCCCTCAGGTCTGCGGGCTAACACTCTAACTGCTGAGCCAAACTGGTCAGGGCCCAACACCATTTACTGATAGACTATCTTTACCCCATTGTGTGTTCTTGTCTCCTTCGTCATATGTTAATTGACCATAAGGAATGGGCTTATTTTTTCGTTCTCTATTCTGTCCCATTGATCTCTATGTCTGTTTTTATGCCAGTACCATGCTATTTTGATTACTATGGCTTTGTAGTATAATTGGATATCAGGTAGCATGATTCCTCCAATTTTGTTCTTTTTTTCCCCAAGATTGCTATTGTTATTTGAGCTCTTTTGTGGTTCTGTATACATTTTTGGAATATTTGTTGTAATTCTGTGAAATATGCACTTGGTATCTTGATAGGAATTGTGTTGAATCTACACATTGCTTTGGGGAGTATGGACATTTTAGTGATGTTAATTGTCCCTATCCATGAGCATGGTATATGCTTCCACTTAATTGTATCTTTTTTATTTATTTATTTTTTTATTTTGCATTTTTCTTCAGATAGAGTGTGAAGGAGGTGTTGGAAGAGACAGAAAGAGAAACATCGATGTGAGAAAGACACATTGATTGGTCGGCACCCACATGACCCCAACCAGGGCCGGGGACAAACTGCAACCGAGGCACATGCCCCTCGTGGGAACCAAACCCAGGACTCTCTGGTCCACAGACTGATGCTCCAACTGCTGAACCAAACTGGCCAGGACTTTTTGGTGAATTATTTAGGGTTCTCTATATACAGCATCATGTCATCTACAAATGGTGACAGTTTTACTTCTTCCTTTGCCATTTGGATGCCTTATATTTCTTCTTTTTGTCTGATTGCTGTGGTTGGGACTTTCAGTACTATGTTGAATAAGCATACTTCCCTGTCTTGTTCCTGATTTTAAGGGAAACACTCTAAGTTTTTGGCTGTGGGTTTGTCATATATGGCCTTCATTATGTTGAGGTATGTTTCCTCTATTACTACTTTGCTGAGAGTTTTTTTTTTTCATAAATGGGTGTTGGATTTTATCAAATGCTTTTTCTTTGTCCATGAATATGATCATGTGATTTTTATCCTTCACTTTGTTTATGTGATGTATCATGCTTATTGATTTGTGGGTATTGTACTAACCTTGCATCCCCGAAATAAATCCCACTTGATCACTGTGTATGATCTTTTTAATGTATCACTGGATCTGGTTTGCTAATATTTTGTTGAGAGTTTTAGCATCTATGTTCATCAGTGATATTGGCCTATAATTTTCTTTCTTTGTAGTGTCTTTATCTGATTTTGGAATTAGGATAATGCTGGTCTTGTAAAATGAGCTTGGTAGTCATCCCTCCTCTTGAATTTTATGGAATAGTTTGAGAAGGATAGGTGTTAGTTTTTTGAATGTTTGGTAAAACTCACCTGTGAAGCCATCCAATGCAGGATTTTGTTGGAAGTTTTTTTATTACTGCTTTGATTTCATTAGTTGTAATCAGTCTAATTCAGATCTTCTGTTTCTTCTTGATCTAGTTTTGGAAGATTGTATAGTTCTAGGAATTTATCTATTTCATCCAGATTTTTCAATTTGTTGGCATAACCTGTTTGTAATCTTTTCTTACAATCCTTTGATTTTCTTTGGTGTCAGTTATTACTTCTCCTCTTTCATTTCTTCTCCTCTTTCATTTCATTTTATTTATGATGAGTCTGGTTAAAGGTTTGTCAGCCTTGTTTATTGTTTCAAAGAAGCAGCTCTTGGTTTCATTGATCTTTTGTATGATTTTTAAAAATTATTTTGTTTATTTCTGCTATGATCTTTATTATTTCCTTTTTTTTTACGCCTTTCCTGAGGATATTTTTTATTTATCTTCAGATAGAGTGGGGGAGAGAGAGAGAGGTCGATTGGTTGCCTCCCACACAACCATGACTAGGGCCAGGGATCAAACCACAACCAAGGTACGTGCCCTTGACCAGAATCGAACCGGCAACTCTTTGGTCCACCGGCCGACGTTCTAACTGCTGAACCAAACCGGCCAGGGCTATTATTTTCTTTCTTCTGCTCAATTTGGGCTTTGTTTGTTGTTCTATTTTTTGTTTATTTAAGTGTAAAGTTAGATTGTTGACTTGAGATTTTTTTTTTGTTTCAGGTAGGCCTATAATGCTATGAACTTTCCTCTCAGGACTGCTTTTGCTGTGTCCTATAGGTTTTGGGTTGTTGTGCGTTCACTTTCATTTGTTTCAGGGTATCTTTAGATTTCCTCCTTGATCTCGTTGCTAACCCATTCATTGTACAGTAACGTTGTTCAACCTCCATGACTTTGTGTGTCTTTCAGTTTTTTTCTGGTGATTGATTTCTAGTTTCATATCATTATAGAGAAGATAAGGATTTCAGTCTTCTTAAATTTATGGACACTTGTTTTGTGTCCTAACATGTGGTCTACCCTAGAAAATTTTCCATGTGCACTTGAAAAGAATGTACATTCTGTTACTTTCGGTTGAGATGCACTGAAGCTGTCAATCAAATCCATCTGATGTAGTGTGTCTGCCGTCTCCTTGTTGATGTTCTGTCTGGAAGATCTATCCACTGATATCAGTGGAATGTTAAAATTTCCTACAATGACTGAATTACTGTCGACTCTCCATCAATATTTGCTTTGTAGCCCGGCCAGTGTGGCTCAGTGGTTGAGCATTGACCCATGCACCAAAAGGTTGCTGGTTCAGTGCCCAGTAAGGGCACATGCCCACCCAGGATGTGGGCTTGATTCTCAGAGTAGGCATGCAGGACACAAGTAATTGATGTTTCTCTCTCATCAGTGTTTCTATCTCTCTCCCTCTTCTTTCCTCTCTCTCTAAAAATCAGTTTAAAAGAAAATTTAAGAAAAGGTTTGCTTTATGTATTTAGGTGCTCCTATGTTAAATGCATAAATGTTTACAAGAGTTATATCCTCTTGTTGGATTGATCCTTTATCATTACAGTGTGTCTTTCTTTGTCTCTTATTATAGCCTTTGTTTAAAGTGTATTTAGTGAGATATAAAAATTGCTACCTCTGCTTTTTTTTTCATTTTTATTTGCATAAAATATCCTTTTTCAATCATTTTAGTTTGAATGTATCTTCTGTTCTGAAGTGGGTTTCTTTCTGACTACATATATATGGGTCTTGTTTTTTATTGTATTTATTTATTTTTTCTTTTTTATTAATTAATTTTTGTTACAGATGTTTCTCCTTTTTCCCCCACTGATTCCCCCCTCCCCCCACCCTCCCTGCCCTGTCCCCAGTTTGTTGTCCATGTCCACTGTTCATGCATACATGCATATAAGTTCTGTGGTTTATCTCTCCCCCACCATCCCCTCTTCTGGGGATTGTCAGTCTGTACCCCACTTCCACATCTCTGGGACTACCCCATTCCTCAGACTATTATGTTCACTATATTCTAAAAATGAATGAGATCATACACTACTTGTTTTTCTCTGTTTGGCTTGTTTCAATTAGGATGATACTTTCCAGGTCCCTCCATGTAGTCTCAAAGGATAGAGAACTTTCTTTCTTACAGCTGCGTAGTACTCCATTGTGTATATGTACCACCGCTTTTTTATCCATTCGTCTACTGGGCTGTTTCCAGATCTAAGCTATTGTAAATAGTGCTGCTACAAACATGGGGGTACATATATTCTTTCTGATTGGTGTTTCACTCTTCTTAGGGTATATTCCTAGAAGTAGGATGATTGGGTCAAATGGCTTTTTAATTTTTTGAGGTAACACCATATTGTTTTCCATAGTGGCTGCACCAGTCTGCATTCCCACCAGCAGTGTACTAGAGTCCCCTTTTTTCCACACCCTTGCCAACACTTGTTGTTTCATGATTTGTTGATGGCAGCCATTCTGACAGGTGTGAGGTGATACCTCATTGTTGTTTTAATTTGCATCTCTCTGATGATTAGTGATGTTGAGCATTTCTTCCTATGACTCTTAGCCATTTGTATGTCCTGTTTGGAGAGGTGTCTATTTAGTTCCTCTGCTCATTTCATAATTGGGTTCTTTGTCTTCCTTTTGTGGAGTTGTATGACCACTCTATATATATTGGAAATTAACCCCTTATCTGATATATCATTGGCAATTA